CTGAGCTACTTAGGACGATCTAACGTCCGGTAATATGTTAACTTTATTTCGAATACAAACATTTTACGGTACAAGCATTTAAGATCATTACAGGCCCATAGGCTATAAAGAATTAGCAGCAAACATGTGCAAGGTATATCCCTTATTACATTTCTCCGTGGGATGCGCAGTAAGACGATATGGCGTCCGTTCTTTATTGTGCATCCATGGGGCTATAAGATAACGGCCAAACTTCACATTGGTTTCTCATACAGCCATCTCTGGTAGAACTAACGTGTATGCACTGATTTACCTCTCTGCCCCTTTAAGGCCCTCTTTTGTTGGGCTCCAAGTAGCTCCGAGCGAGAAACAAAACCACCCTCCCTTGTGAGCACAGTGTGCTCTGATTGCGTGCGGACCATGGCGAACACAGTGAACATGAACGGTGACCGGGCGCCGCGGTCCCGTTGGGTTTAGATGCTTGTTCATAATGCACCAGGAAGGGAAATGAGCTCCGCCGAATACTGTTCCAATGTTCAGCCACATACTTGTATACTACCGAGCCGGAACTACTTCGTTTTTAAACATGTCGATCTACAAATGGTTCTAGACTCTGAAGTTTAATATCCCCACAATGCCTGCGCACGGTTAGTTTGTAAAACTGGAGAAGTCGTCTACGCGGCCGCGACTTTACACACCACTCTTTCCCCATGCCTAAGTCAATGACAAAAAGGTGCTTTCCGGGCCTGGGCAACCAAACAGAAGTGTAGTACCGCCGTTGGGCCACCACGAATTATATTTTTCATCTGAGTCCGGTCGCACTTACCTGGCATATCTTGCGATAGCAGCACCGTCTTGTCCGAGTCAAGGGTCCGCTGTAGCTGCGGGCCGCTGGTACAGTACACGTACACTACACGACACTACGTACGGCACACGGTCCCTGTACACGACACATGCCGGTGGCTGAGATACACACTACCGTACATGGCAAGGATGTATTAAAAGCGAATGACGACACTACACGACACGCCCCCTACACGACACGCCCACCTGGACACGACACGGCCTGAGGAGACCCGTACATGGCAGATTTAAAAACGAGAAATTTGCACAATTTAATGTTAGCATTTTTAAGCAACTATTAGGCAAATCAATTTAAAAATTAACTTCCGTTTGAGAACCCTTGGAACCCCTTATTCCCATTTTGATGGTTGACATCTCATTTTGAATGACAGCCGGGTGAATTTTATTTTTATAATTTGCAAAAGTCAAAGATATGTTACTGTATATTATAAAAATGCTTGTCATGTTAGGCATACTGGGAGATGGAAAGGCTTTAGGTCAGTGTTGTAGCTGAGATTCTTACCGTTCCAATGAGTATTAACTAATAAATTGGTTACTTGGATTTATATAGCGCCTTTCATGAGACCCAAGGCTCCCTTTAAAAAGAAGAACAGGAGTAGAAACAAACATAACAAAAGGCAATCAGGACAAAAACAACAAATAGATTTGGGGCTAAAGGCCTTGGCAGACAGATGGGAACCCCTTTTTGAAGGCATCAGCCGTGGGGATGTGCAGATCTCCGCAGGGAGAGCGTTCCCAGAGAGTGTGGGGGCTGCCATACTGAAGGCTCTGTCCCCGAAGGATCGCAGGTTGGTGCGGGGGGCCAGAGTCTGAAGACCGCAGGTTCAGTGGGTAGGGCATGTGGGAATTGTATTGATTTGATACAAGCAAGCCAGTGTTTCATTGTGTACTTTCAACTACAGTATATGGACCAGCAAGTTCAGCATTCACTGTGATGAATATAAAATAGGACACTGATACCGTTTTCCTCAATGAACATTTATTGAACAGAACATCATGTGGAAAATCAGAAGGGCACCATTCAAGCTGGTCAACCTAAAGAAATATTGACCTGCAGGAGTTTAAAGCCTATTTAAAAACTCCTCGGAATCTTTCACAAGTCCTTCAGCCTTTGGTGCGCTTCCTCACTCGTGTTCTTGGTGAGGTCCTGAGGACAAAGTTCCTTCTCACTGATAAGACAAGATGGTATAAAGAAGTCATATATGTAATATTATAAATTCACATGCATCAGGGGTTGTACACTTTAATGTGTCCATTCACTAACCGACACTTTAGGAAGGAAGCTGTAAGGCCTCATGTTATAGGAGTGGACCTCGTCAGTGTCCAGGGGCATCAGACAGTCAACCATTATTTTGACATGCACGGTTTAACTCCTCCAAAAATGATCCAGGCTCGATTCAGAATGACACAGTACCACACAAAACAAATGTTGCATGTACCATAAGTTCTATGTAGTATGTGTTTTAGGAGTAGTAACCCACTACCATGTCTGTGAGAATCCCTTCATCGTGAACAATAGGTGAATTGGTGGCCAGAGGGCTGTGCGTCAAGGACTGGACATGGACGCAGTCAAACCCGACTAGCCCACTTCTCCGTGCATTGTCATATGCCCTGTTGCACGTTTCCAACTGACAGGTGATACCCAAGTTAGATTTTTGGACATGAATATAGTGCACAGGAACCTTAAAGGTCCTGGAAACTGCAAAAAGTCCCTTTTTTTTTTATCTATGCACGGATTTTAGGTGGCGATTTGCTGTGATGTCCGATGTTTTGGATGAGAGTGGTGCCTTTGTAGGTTTTTCCTTTTAGTTGTAGGCTACAAAAACAACATGTTGTGGTTTTGCGCTTTGACATCAATTTTGGGGGCTGTGGAAAATATTGTGCCATGTTGCTGCAGCGGAGCACTGGAGCTACATCACTGAGCGGCCGTCTGAGCCATCACTGGACGGCCTCGCTGGGTGGCCATCATCTGGAGCGGCCGTCGGGCCATCACTGTAGCGGCCGTCTGGGCCATCACTGGAGCGGTCGTCTGGGCCATCACTGGAGCGGTCGTTGTGGTTGCTGGGCCGCCGCCAACGTAGGTTGGATGTTCGGTGCAGCAGTTTTTAAAGTGACTAAAGAACATCTCCTTTCTCCCAATGATTGTTGGGCAAAAGCCACAGTGATAATGGCTGCTGGCCACACATTTGAGATGGCATTTATAAACATTATAACCTAAAAAAGACAAGAAAGTGGTTTAGAGGATTCTAGAAACAAACCAAAATGATTTCTTGTAAATATGCTATTTGAAACAAGGTGTTTTGTGCGAGAGCAATAAATAATCATTTCACCAAACAATTAAATATTTTTGCCTATAACTGAATTTTTGCAGATTGAATGTGTGATTATGCTCATATTGTGTGCCTACCCCAAATAAGGATACTGTTCGAAGCATTTATTAACAATTCAAACCTGAATATAAATCTAATTTTTAATGTTCAATTCCTAATTCAAATTAATTTACACCAAGGATGTCCTGGGGCACAGAAATTAACACATGTATCCATAATGAGTGAGGCATTAAACACATCTAACAAGTAACACGTAATGTGTGAAGTATACAATGGATCATGATAGATGAATTATAGATTTACCTTACCTCCATTATTTACCACAAGTGACCTTCTGGTGGCCTCTGCAAATATGGGAAAATAGTTAACTCCGTTAACAAGCAGCATGTAGACTGGCCTGTATAATCCTATGGGTCAAGCTTGGTCACTACTCCTCACTTTCAGTGGTAACCCTTTAACTGCCAGCGCCATCATTTGGTGTCCTTCTGGGCGTGCTCCATCACGGAGTTGTTGTTTGTTGTTTGTCTTGTTAGTGTGATATTAAAATATAATATGTAATGACATATTTAATGTGACTCCTTTTAATTATTGGTTGATAATTAGTTAACTCCTTAAACAAGCAGCAATGGATCTGTCCTGTTTTTTTTATTTCCTATTGGGACTCAAGCTGGNCCAGGCCTGTAGATGGTGCTGTTCTCACAGAATCAGCCCATGCAAAGACAGTGTTAAATTGAGCGAAATGAGGAATGGCTAAAATGCATGATCTGTTTGGTATTTTGAAAAATAAAAAGTATAAATATGCCTTATATAGGTATGGTCCTACACTATATTATTCAAATATAGCATGATAGGTATTAAATAAATAAAAGATCTAATTATGATAACATTGTAGCATTTGTGTTTGTTTCCTTTTTTAATTGGAGTCTCCTCATCGATCCACACAGATCTGATGTTTTCGTGTCTGCAGTTATGTTTAAGTTACGTGCTTGTATTTCATGATGTATTCACTAAATCTGTTTTTAATTGCATTTGGTCACATATAACCAAACCGTTTTACATCATCCAAGATTACCATTTTTATTTTTTATTCCCAGCTTTCCCCAGGCACGATTATTCTCATGTAAGAATTTAAAACTGGGATTTAAAAATAAGGATGGAAACACAGTTATGGTCCAATTACATTTTAGCAACCATGAGGCGTAGCAGGATTGGCCAACAGTCAAATGATGGCAGCCATCCTTTCATGCGTAAGGTCTTTCCATCCTTTTTATGTCTCCTTTCCCCGACCACTTCCCTATGTCCCATTTCCCATATCTGTCCCACTCCTTTTGCTTTCTGCCAACCAGGATGCTGACAATGGCTTCAATAAAGATGAATTGAAATAGGCTTTGGCTGGATTCGGCTTCCCAGGACACACACTGGAAAGACCTATTGCTGCAGTTATTACTCCAGCACACGGCTCGTCAAACTCATTCTGCTTGTGTTCTTCCTCTTCCTCTCACGCTCTGTCTATCCTTCTTATTTCACCTGAGTTCCTCTTCCTCCCAGGTTTATATTTCTCTCTGCTTCCTTTTTCTTTCAGTCCCTCCCTCTTGCTCTCTCTTGCTCCCTCATTCTCACGCTGTTCAACTCAGTACAGTCCATTATTGTTGTTTGCTAAAGTAGAACTATAATTTCACAGCTGAAGAGCCAGATCAGGTCTGTAGTAGTGATTAATAATCTGACGGTGAATAATGATTTCAGCCTCCATATTCAGCTGTAGGTAATTATTCGCTGTGTAATCGTGGAATAGATTTGCTCATGAAAAACAGACTTATTCAAATGTGAGATAGAAACCAGAGCGCCTTGGGTGTGTCGAGGCATCCGTGAAGCTAAATTTACATGGGTGGGATCCAAATATAGGCCCGGGAATGAGATTAGAACATTAGCGTGGGCGTCACTTCAAGCCTCTCCGGTCCCGAAGTCTTACCCGGCCTTGTTTCAGCCGCTGAAGTGAGCCTATCCTGCTCGTCACTACTGTGATGAATGTGTCAGAAGAAGCGATGCGACTCAGTTCATTCTCTGTGTCCTTGTGTCTCATCTTGTCTGTAATGATAATGGATTGCATTTATTTCCTCAATGGAAGTTGGGGGATCAAGAGGTGACGGGCAAAGCGATGGATGGAGCGCCAGGACTACAGAAACGAGCCTTCATATTTTGCTTGTGTTTTGTTTTTGAAGCTTTTTTTTTTTTGGACGGGTGTCAAAGCAGCTGAGCATAATACTAGAAGGTGTAAGACCCTGAAAACTCACCTACAAAGAGTCAGACACACTGAAGGAAACACTTACTCCGGTGCACGGTCATATACGTTTTAGTCGATTTGACAAATCATGATTTACACTTTGCATACTTAATTTATTACATTATTTACCTATTTATCATTGTGTGTGTGTGAGTGTGTGTGTGTGTGTGTGTGTGTGTGTGTGTGTGTGTGTGTGTGTGTGTGTGTGTGTGTGTGTGTGTGTGTGTGTGTGTGTGTGTGTGTGTGTGTGTGCCTGTTAACATGGAGGTGGGTGTGTTTGCTCAGGTTTGGTTATTTTGGGTGTTGTCAATGAGAAAGTGAAATCCTTTTACTGTAGCTAAGTTTCTCT